CATTCTCACATATGCATGCATTATGTCTTGATGAATACACCACACACGTCTGAAGATATTTCACTATAGTACACATGCACTAATAAAAGCTCTCATTGCTATATAATATAATATGTTGCAGAAAGCGTAAATGCATATCGATAGCATAGGCTCCACTGACAGAAATGATATGCTCCTGTTACCATTGAATCACGCCATGAAAGAATTATGAGAGACATGACATGGTGAGAATCTCCACCGGAATGCCTTATTCGTACAGACGAATGGCTACAATATGTTGCTAGGATCGAAATTTCTAACATCAAGAGCACGTTCGTGGTCATGATTTTGCTAAAAATTAGCTAGAACGAAGATTTGCTCGTTTTTAAATATCAGAAAACGAGCAAAAAACAAACTCCGCGTCCGGTGTTGACCAAAAGAAGTAAATTTTGAAGAGAAAAGTCTTATCCCCATTCATAAGAACAGAACCGCTATCTTCCATAATGAATTCTAAACGTTTCGCTCAATTCTGAAATTACGCAGATCATCTCGCCAATTGTGATAATCATACATTTTCGTTTGGACAATGAATGAGACTCGAACCAGGATGAACAGTGGTACGAAAACACTCCTTCATGTAAATAATCACATCTTACCCCACCCTCTGTTACTGAAGCGGGTCGATTAAAAAATCTCTGGGAAGCTGAATGAATAAAGAACGAAAAACGTTTGACATGTACATGTACGCGTTATAGAAAAACAATTTCTTATTTAAACGTTTTTTTAATACTGAAAACAACGACTCTCTTTTTGAACAAACCATACGTCTTTCATGGCGTGTTTGCTTGGAACATTAATGCCATGGCAACAAGACATCCTGTTAAAAGCTCTGATTGCCATGTTAGCCATTATCATGGGAATGGTCAATATTGAGCCATCACCACTGTTGACCTTGTGACCTCTGATGTGGATCCAATAGTTGACCTTGTGACCTCTGATGTGGATCCAATAGGTGACCTTGTGACCTCTGATGTGGATCCAATAGTTGACCTTGTGACCTCTGATGTGGATCCAATTGTTGACCGTGTGACCTCTGATGTGGATCCAATAGCTGACCTTGTGACCTCTGATGTGGATCCAATAGCTGACCTTGTGACCTCTGATGTGGATCCAATAGTTGACCTTGTGACCTCTGATGTGGATCCAATAGTTGGAGTGGCTGGGATCTCGGTGTAGACGGTTTCGTGGTCGTAGTGGTGGACGGAATGATTTGTTCTGGCAACTCAATATCAGGAGCCTCGTACTCGCCATTGAACGTCGTTGTTGGAGCCTTGATTGTCGTCGTTGTAGTTGTTGTAGAGGTCATTGGTGGAGATGTAGCTTTAACCACGGAATAGACACCTCCAGGTTGATTATATAAATGAACTCCATGAGATAGAGATTCCTGGCCTCCTCCTACAATTAGCCCAGATGATCGCTGAGGCTGGGTATGTAATTGTGGATGTTCGTTTGGATAGATATTTACGGGCCTTGAGGACGCAGCCGAAGAAAGCCCTCCCGTCACCAGGCCTGGAGGGCGTTGAAATGCTGCAGGGTGTGCTTGGTAACTGAAGTTCCCGCGATGCCCCGAGTACAGCTGGTAGTCTCTGTGTGTCGAATAACCCCTACGTCGTGTGCTAATCTGGTCATGCCATGACTCTGCGGAAGCATACAGTACGACCAAATATGATGGCATTTGATCTGGATCAGGGGACATTTATTAGGAGATAAACTTTATAATTTTGTGTTTTCAGATTTGCGAGTGTTATTGAGTAATCAATTCCCGGTTATGTCATTTCGTTACCTAATTTCCGGCCAACTAAACGCGGTTCTGATTATCAGAAGATGTTCAGATGAATTTTCATAAAATTTAATATTATATATTGAGAAAAAATACTTATCCAGAAAGGTTCCATAAAGTTAAAAGTCCGAACGATTTCGAAGTTCGAAAGATCTAATCCCATTTAACTAAATCAGATTGCATTACACAGCTGGATCGTGATCTAGTGATAGAGCGTCCACCCAGAGAGCGGAAGGTTCAGGGTTCGATCCCGGCCGCGTCATACCAAAAGACCTTAAAAGATGGTACTTATTGTTACCCTGTCTGGCGCTCGGCATTCAGGGGCTAAAACAAGGACTGGTCGGCACTGAGTCAGTATACTGTGTCTGAGTGGGGTATTGTTTAACTGCGGCATGGTATCTAGCACCATAAAATCGGCATTAGCCCACCTAGGGCACACACACACATGTGCATGCACGTCGCTAAATAGGTGCAAGAATCTTGGACGCGACGTTAAACCCCATTTCACCTCACCTCATCACACATACCCCGTTAAGATCATGCTTGTCGTAAGAGGCGGCTCTCAGGATGGGTGGTCAGACTCGCGGACTTGGTTGGTGCATGTTATTGTATCCCATTACATGGATCGATGCCCATAATGACAATCACTGGATTGTCCGGCTTAGACGCGATTATTTACAGACCGCCATCATAAAGCTGTAATGTTGCTTAGTGCTGCGTTATAAAAAAATCTTTTTAAAATTACCAGAACATGCCCAACTCCAGTCTAAATGTCGACGCAACAGCATGTAGATAGACACTGATATATGAACACTGGGACAAAATGAATAGCAGGGAAACGACACACGTACCACAGTGGAGAAGGCCTGAAAGAGAGGCTCGTTCATGAAGGTACAGACATAAGGACGTTTCGGATGTCACATACAATGTACAAACAGGTGACAGTTACATTTCACATAATGAACAAATCATGCACCAAGACGTGTGAAACGTAAAGCAAACTAAACAGAAGTTAGATCTGTGATGTGTAATAAGACATATTTTTTTTAAATGAAACTACATGTCGATATCTTGTATCTCTTGATTATATACAGTGACACTCTCTTTACTCGAACTTCCTGAACTCGACATATCGCTTAAGACGACGATACACCATGATCATGTCACGTGAACTTACATTGTCAGACCGCTTGTCTCGAACTTCGGATATATCGATTTTGTATCGATTGTCTCATGGCAGGAAACGAGGTTTGTGGTGTTTACCCTAGGACAGGTATGAGCTCCGGCTCGATGCTGTTGAGTGTGTACCATCGTATCTTGGGGACACAGGTGGCCCAGTCGTCTAAGGCGCCGCGATTCGCTGTTCAGAGTTGCGTCCCTTGGGCACGCCAGAGACATATGAGTGTGGGTTCGAATCCCCGTTCGCCCCGATTATGTTTCTAGGTTTGTCAGCGCCAAAGCCGTACTCGTGGGTTTCACCAAAGTGGTAAACGTCGGAGACCTGCATCACTTCGGGCTTTCCTCCCACATTAAGCTGACACGCCTTGATATAACTGGAATACTGTTGAAAGCGGCGTTAAACCCAACTCACTCACTCACTCGTGCCTCAATGACATGGATCCTTTGTGTCTCATGATGTCAGCCTCTTGTTTGTCGTGTCAGTGCACGATTACGTACAAGCCAGCGTGATACAGCTGATATTGTGCAAACTGCAGCATAAAACAAAGTCCGGTAACTCTCCCTTGAGAGGAGGCGCTGCAACTCCATGTGCCGTGATGCATCCCTTCGTTCAAATCCCACATTCGTCCTGACGATCTTTCTAGGTTTGTCAGCATCATACCCGTGCTCGTGGGTTTCACCAAGGTGGTAAACGTCTGAGACCTGCGTCGCTTCGGTGACTTGAAACGTCACTCACAATCTTCAATCTACCAGAGTGTATTTCACCCTTGCTTAAAGAATATTATTTATGATTTAAATGGACTATTTGAAATTAATGTTTTATCAAGACTCATCAGTAAGGCCGAACCTTCAACTCGTTCCGGTGAAATCATGTGTACATAACCTTGCTCGTGCTGTAACATTCTACTCAACTTTTGATAGGGGTATTTTTTATACACACAACTGATTCGCATGATAAGCCAAGTGTATACTGTAAAACGTGAAATTAATGCGTCTCCAAAAGAATGCGACCGCTGGCCCCTAGCCAAAAATGCGACTCAATATGAATGCGACACCCCTCTCCTCTCAAGCATCAGTGGATTTATATCTAAACAAAATGTCCTCTGTCAGGTTTACAGGAGAATCTAGATGGATCGTCCCTATGAAAAGGTGAGTAATGCATAATACAAAGTCCATGTGGTATCTACATAGTATAGGCAGGCACAGAGACAGGTGTGATCAGTGTATTTTACCCTTGCTTAAAGAATATTATTTATGATTTAAATGGACTTTTATAAATTAATGTTTTATCAAGACTCATCAGTAAGGCCGAACCTTCAACTCGAGTTTCGTTCCGATGAAATCATGTGTACAACTCCTTGCTCGTACTGTAACATTCTACTCAACTTTTGATAGGGTATTTTTTATACACACAACTGATTCGCATGATAAGCCAAGTGTATACTGTAAAACGTGAAATTAATGCGTCTCCAAAAGAATGCGACCGCTGGCCCCTAGCCAAAAATGCGACTCAATATGAATGCGACACCCCTCTCCTCTCAAGCATCAGTGGATTTATATCTAAACAAAATGTCCTCTGTCAGGTTTACAGGAGAATCTAGATGGATCGTCCCTATGAAAAGGTGAGTAATGCATAAAACAAAGTCCATGTGGTATCTACATAGTATAGGCAGGCACAGAGACAGCAGTGATCAGTGTATTTTACCCTTGCTTAAAGAATATTATTTATGATTTAAATGGACTTTTATAAATTAATGTTTTATCAAGACTCATCAGTAAGGCCGAACCTTCAACTCGAGTTTCGTTCCGATGAAATCATGTGTACAACTCCTTGCTCGTGCTGTAACACTCTACTCAACTTTTGACAGGGGTATAATAAGCCAAGTGTACATCTAGATGGATTGTCCCTATAAAAAAAGGTGAGTAATGCATAAAGCAAAGTCCATGTGCTATTTACATAGTATAGGCAGGCACAGAGACAGGTGTGATCAGGATCTCCTACCTGGTGGTTGCCATTGATTTCTGTAGCCCTGTTGTGTCTGGGGAGGACCTCCTCGATACTGATTTTGTTGCGCTGGTTGCCGTTGATGCTGGACCCAAGGTCGTGTTGGTGGAGGTGTGGTGGTTGTGATGCTGGCGGTGGTAGTTGTTGGTGTTGGCGTGGTCGATGTTGTCGTCCCACCCGTGCCTGTCACCCCTTCATACTCAGGGGGCTCAATCTCTCCTGCAACTGTGGTCGGGAGTCCTGTCAAGAGAAGATAGCATGACTGAACGCTACTGTAATATAATTACTTACGGTATGGAATCTATTTGTATAATCAGGTTGCGACCACAGGCCTCTGTGTTAGATATTATTCTGTGAACAAGGAACCTTATTTCAGTTGTTATAATGCAAACGTAAGCCCCTATTGCAGCAGCTATAATAATGCGAACATAGACTCCTATTTCAGCCATCTAAAATGATGCGAACACAGATTCCTATTTCAACAGTTAGATCCCAGTGTCAGCCATGTAAAATGGGGTGAACTCAGATCCTTATTTCAGCTATCTAAAATGGTCTAGACATAGACCCATATTTCAGCCATCTAAAATGATGTGAACACAATTCACTATATCAGCCATCTATAATGATGTGAACACAGATCCCTATTTCAGAAGCTATTATGATACGAACACAGATCCCTATTTCAGAAGCTATAAAGATGCGAACACAGATCCCTATTTCAGAAGCTATTATGATGTGATCCCAGATCCCTTTTACAGAAGCTATAAAGATGCGAACCCAGATCCCTATTTCAGAAGCTATAAAGATGCGAACACAGATCCCTATTTCAGAAGCTATCAGGATGCGAACACAGATAGCTATTCAAAAGCTATAATCCTGGCCAAATAGTCCCCTGTTACAGACAGATTTATTGTTGCGAACACAGACGTCCATTTACGCTAGATATAACGATGTGAACACAGTTACCTATTTTAACCAGTTCTAATGATGCGAACACAGACCTTTATTTCAATCAGCTACAGTGACTAGATGTCTCCCAATTTCTCTTTATATCTCACTCTATTTAACGTAGGTCCGCCTTTATAGGTTTATGTCACATTTCTTTATATCTCACTCTGGTCCGCCTTTATAGGTTTCATGTCACATCTAAGTAAAAGTGTGTAACAGATCATGATTAGAATTTCATATTGCGGAAGGCGAAGGACATCGTAAACAGTCGCGAAGGCTAGATGACAGAGTCCTAGTTATTCACACCGTTATTTAGAGTCGGGTCAAATATGTGACAGATCATAACACAAGGACTATTTTAGTAACATCTACATTAATCAAGATTTTGCTTTAAATATGACTGGGCGATTAAGTGTCTCACTCTGGGAGAGTGGGTTCGAATCCCGGGTGGGACTCAAACCCAAAAGTACTAGAGTTTGTTTTTTGACGCCGCACTCAGCAATATTCGCGCTATATGACGGCGGTCTGTAAATAATCGAATCTGGACCAGATAATCCAGTGATTGACATCAGGAACATCGATCCACGCAGATTGGATGCGATGACACGCATTAAACCAAGTCAGCCAGCCTGACCGTTAGTCGCCTCTTGTGACAAGCAGAAGTTGCTAAAGACCAATTATAACACGGATCTAAACGGGGTAGTTGAAAAATGAATGGGAAAATGTGTATTCATTAGGTGAAAAACTTTGTTAAATGGGATAAGATCTTTCGAACTTTGAAATCATTCGAACTTTTCACTTTATGGATATTTTTCAGGATAAGTATCGTTCTTTCTTTTTCTCAATATTTGATATTAAATTGTATCAATATTCATCTGAACAACTTCTGCTAATCAGAACTGCGTTTAGTTATAACGGAAGGTAAAGAAATGATATAACCGGGCATTGAATATTCAACACATGCAAATCTGAAAACACACCCGATCCCGTTAGTCGCCTCTTACGACAAGCATAGTCGCCTTTTACGGCAAGCATGGGTTGCTGAAGACCTATTCAACCCCGAATCTTCACAGGACTACTAATAAAAAAAGATGTTACATTTGAGCACTTTCTAAATGGCATTGTGTATTGATATTCAGGCAATATCACTGCGTGGGACATCAGAAATGGACGCCTGAAATTGCACCAGTGTGAGGAATCAAACTCGAACCATGTGCAGACTAAACGATATACCAGCAGAGTATCCCCGCCACCAAAAAAAGAACGTGAATATACGAGACAGAGAGAGACACAGAGAGAGCGAGACAGAGACAGAGAGACAGAGAGAGAGATTCAGTGTACTAGTTCGGTTTCAATGTGCTCGCCAATTGATATACCATGCCGCAAATTAACACGAATATTTAGACACATTATACGTCTTACGCAATGGCATAGCCGTAATATTTTCCTCCCTGCGTTAAGAAATGGGCGGAGACTTAATTGTAACGGTACTAATCATGAGCAATGCAATATTTGTTCTGAATACACTAGCTTTTTTATAATTTAGTATGGTTGTTTTCAAAAAAAATTTCTATTCGTCCTTCTCTTTTCCAAACGTCAACGCCGAAGTATAAGTGTCGCAAATGGCGAATAGGTGATGGAAATTATATGAATGGATTATTATAAATAAGTGATGATACCAGTTGGCCATGCATTTATCTGTATATTTATTATTGTGTCTGGAAAGCTTGGCTGCATCGTTCAAAAGAGTGATTAAATTAGTTGTGATTGGGTGAGATTTGTGTTGTACATATTCGAGGGCATCTTCCCGAGGCAAGGGAGTTAACTAACAGTCCACTTTCCACCCTTGCCGAACTTGGCTGGAATTTCTGGAATCGATCGTAGAGCCACAAATGGCTTATACGGGTTATGTCCCTTCTATTGACCAATCTGATTCTACTTCTCATGTCACCTGCATTTGCTTCAAACAAAATGGCGGCTCCCAATCAAGACGATCTGATCGATAATCAAGATCTATGTTGTAATAAAACTGGTCTTACTTCGCAATGTGCATCAAATCACATGAGCACCTTTATTCGAAATATGAAACGATTTGAAAAAATATCTGTTGACGCCGACGTGGCTGCACACAAGCTTTGCAAATCCTGCAATCGACCGGCAGTTTAAGAACCAGATGTCGATTTCGTTTCGCAATTTTGATTAGACTACGGATGGGCTCGTAAGTACAGCCAAAATATGACTCCATAATTCCGGCCTAGTTCGCCAAGGGTGGAGACTGGACTTATACAGTCAGTTTACACCCTTTCCTCGGGAAGATGATTTGAAGGTGACAATTCCGGATGCTTCAGTGCAGTACACGAACACCTGGTGTTAAGAGTCAATATTTGATAGCGATTCACATATTGCAATATTTTTGAGGTGAGGTGAGGTGAGGTGAAATTGGGTTTAACGTCGCGTCCAAGATTATTGCACTTATATAGCGACGTGCATGCACGTGTGTGTGTGTGTGTGTGTGGCTGCTTGTACTAGTCCGGACTGATGCCGATTTATAGTGCTAGCCCACTGAGATACCATGCCGCAGTTGAACATGAATACCCCACTCAGACACAGTATACTGACTCCGAGCCGACTAGTCCTTGTTTAAGCCCCTTAATGCCGAGCGCCAGACAGGGTAACAATAAGTACCATCTTTTAACGTCTTTTGGTATGACGCGGCCGGGGATCGAACCCCGGACCTTCCGCTCTCCGGACGCTCTACCACTAGACCACGGAGGCGGTCACATATTGCAATGAAGTTACGAAATAATAACACAGGTGACGCAACCAATTAAGCATTCTTACTGTACATCAGCTATCCACACAGATAATAACATATATCCTTTAAGTATTTCTGCAATAAAGACTAAATTCACCTAGTGTCATGCGTGTCATGTACTAGCAGTCGGAATCATTTAGCAGTGATTTCTTGTGATTATGGAAAGGGTTGTGTCCCTTTACTTCCAGTGATCTCTATGAGTAGATACACCACGCAACTATAAACGAAGGTCACAGGAAACAAACGAGGCATTCAAGGCAAGTCATTAATGTTTGCTATTTTAAGAGGAGGGGGATATAAGCCACTCCCAACATACATTCTCTGACGAGTCCACGACATCAAGTTACAACTGGGATTAATACAGAGTTATTTATGAGTCCGCCATGGCGTTAGGGACTCCTTACATCAGATCATATAAAAGGAAAGGTTCGTGTGAAATTAACGAAGAATTTTCGACTTTTTTGGAATGCGCGCCTCAGTCAATTTTAGTCAATTTTACTTTGAGGTTTCGTCCAACACATTATGAATATTATCATGTTTTGTATAGTGTTTTACTGGATACGAACAGTATCCTTCATATGTTTTATAAATATATATATTTATTGTCTTATTGTGTCTCATAAGCGTTAAGGCTGGACTCTATCTTTTAATTATGTCCAATTTATGCAACGTGTGACAAATAAATAATTTACTGACTTTAATGATATTGAGGTAATCTAAGCATGTGAATTATCGATGGTTGCATATGATTGTGTCGGATTAACGAGTATGTCGGATAAACGAAATTTAGTAGTATCAACGTTCGTGATCGAAAATCGGACAACTACACGATAGATAAGGATTCAAACACGTTATAAAAAATATAAAACATATATTCATATTGTTATGTTAAATTGTTGGCGGAATATGTTTTCTAATCATTCAACCTCTAAAGTTTAACACAAAACAACTGTTACGGACTGTTTGACAGATTCAAAATACTTTAAAAAGCATAGTCTGGAATGGTACTGAAACTGGTACCCAAAGCTAACGTCGACTTCCTGTTGGTCATTTCATTGGTAGGTCATAGTTCGCGAAAGGTTGTTCTGGCGTGACTTGTAATGGGATGTCCTCGTCGATAGCGAGAACTTGTATCTGATTATAATAAGATTGAGGTTATCTAAGCATGTGAATTATCCTGTTTTCTTTATTTAAAGCATTAATTATTTATTGTTTTGCATGTTTATCTCTGCATCCGTTGTAATATGCAGCTACCAGCCGACTCGTCTCGCATCAGAACACGGGCTGTGTACTCGCGGGCAGATGACCACGGAGTATGCTGATCACTGTGTCGGATTAACAAGACTGATGAGTGATTTCGATAATTCGTTGCAAATTAGGTGTGTCGGAGTCGGAGTGCGGGACTGTCGAATTAACGGGTCTAAATAGCACTGATTTAATCGGTTCCCATCATTAGTGTCTGATGAAGCCGATTGTC